CACCTCCGGCACCGGGTCCTCCAGCAGGGCGAAGAGCTTGTCGGCGACGGCGTTCCGCGTCGCCAGCCCCTTCACCTCGGCGTTGTTCTCCCAGACGTTGCCCAGGCAGATCAGCAGCCACTTGCGCAGGTTGGGGTGGTCCTCCTGCTGCTGCTCCAGCAGCAGCGACAGGGCAATGTCGATGATGGAGCCATTGGGGAGGCTGCTGCTGCCGCCCTGCACCACCGTGTTCTGCCCGTGCGGGTTGTGGCGGACGATGACGGAGAGGACGAAGGCGGCCATGATCTGGTGGCTGGTGCTGATGTACGAGTCGGCGAGGATCTTCATGAAGTAGACGTGGGCGTTCTCGCGAATCAGCTCGCTTTGGTAGGACTGAGTTGGGGAGGGAGAAAGGGGAGGGGAGGGATAGGAAAATGGTTGTTAGTTTTTGGTCGCACAAAGTAGTTTGCATGCACTCCTCCACCACCGCCACCGCCACCACCACTTCAACTTCTACTGACACAGTAAATTCCGAGTTAACAACTTCCGGAAAGAAACCAAAGAGTGTGTGTGTGCGCATTACCACCACAGACCAGATCTCGCTTAACCGCGAGCGAGAGCGAGAGAGCGTGCTACATGTGTGGTAATGACAGGCTACAGGCAAGAAGGTGTTAGTGGTTTGGACGCAGAAAGAACTACAGGTACCTTTCGGTGCGAGGGGAATAGCACAATAGTGGTATAGAGGACAGCGTTAACCAAATAAAACAATAATAACAACAACAACAGAATTTACTCCAAAGCTATTAGTGCAAGCGTTAGTGCCGAATGCGGACATGCTGCCGAGCACTAAGCGCCGGCAGCGCTCGAGTCAAGTGAAAATGTTCGAAATGCCAGTTTAGCTCGAAAACTTACCTCATCAATGGCCAGAATTTTGGCCCAGATGAAAACGAGAAACGGCCTCAACTCTTTGGCCGAAGCTTGCAGCAGCTTAAGTACGTAGGGGAAGATTCCCACTGACAGGGCCTGGGAAAGGATGAGAGAGAGAAAGAGATTGAATTGTTAGAAATGAAAGAAAGGTTTCAGGACTGATAAAGTTACCAAATTGACCGCCCACGGGCCGAGGTTGAGAAAGTTGCCCAGCAGGTCGAGGGCGCGCGAGCGGTGCACCTGACTGAGGAGCACCTGGAGGACGATGGGCAGCTGCTCGGGCGTGCTCGAGGGAAAGGAGCTCAGCTTGAGCCAGACCTGAAAGGCGGTCAGCTGCTCGGTGAAGAACTGGCTGGGCACGTAGGGCGGCGGGGTGAAGCTCTTGCTGGCGAGGTCCATCGCCGCCAGCTGCGTCAGACAGCTGTCCACCGCCAGGTCCCAGGACTTCCACATGGGGTGGTGGTGGACGGACTGGATGGGCGGGTTGGAGACCGGCGTGCAGTCGTAGGAGCGCATGATGCGCTGCGCGAGGAGAAAGTTCCGAAAGAGACTGGCGACGAGGAGGTCCTGGCGAAAGAGGCGCTGAAAGAGGTCCCGCGGGAGGGTGTTCCAGGCGATGGTGTCGGTGATGGCGGTGAAGATCCAGTTCAGCTCCCCGAGAATGGACTTGCGGTCGGTGAGCGAGCCGGGGATCTTGTCGATCAGGTCGACGTTGATGTTCGGCGCCAGCTTGCGGGCGTTCCGCTTGATGAACCACACCAGGAAGGTCTTGATGGGCGTCGTCAGGCAGGAGGTGAAGAGGTCGGCGGGCAGGTCGGGGTGGAGGGGCAGCGACTCGCCCTTGTCGCAGGCCGCCAGGAGGATGCAGCTTTGGTAGTTGGGCCGCGGCGGCGGCGCCGCCGCCTTCGGCCCCTGGGCGCCGCCGAGCAGGTCGTCCGGCGGCTTGGGCGCCGCCATGTAGCTGGAGGTGGTGGCGTTCATCTCGTACTCCTTCTCGTGCTGAATGGCGAAGGTGGCGAAGAGCTCGACGATGATGCCCGCGTTGGAGCAGTCGAAGACGTAGATGGAGGGCGAGCCCATCCACTGCTGCAGGTCGAAGAGCGAGAGGGGAATGTACTGGGTGAAGCTGCGGTTGAACACCCAAATCTCGCCGTTCACCGTGGGCTTCGGCACGCCGTGGCCGTTGTAGTGGAAGAGCACCCGCTCCTCCTTGGAGGTCCGCCGCAGTGTGGTGCACAGCTTCTTGATGTCCTCCACGGTGGGGTCGATGCAGTGCTTGTAGCGGGCCCGAGGCTGCCACCGCTCGTACTGCTTGATCAGTTTGGTGGCGATCGTTTCCGCCGCCTTCGTCGGTTGCGTACTGAAGGGGTCGCTCCAGCACTGGAGGATGGCGCTCGGGTTGGGCTTGACCACGTCCGGAGGGTCGACGCCCACATTGAGGCAGAGCACTATGGCGACGCTCATTGTTTTCATCTATCAAAGGAAAAAGAAGAAGAATAAAAGCGTGTAAAGATTAAGACGCCTTTTATTAGTATAGGAGATAAAAGAAGAGAAGAGAAGCCTCCTCCTCCTCGAGCGCATGCAAAGCGTGTGAGAATGCGCGTGAAAGAAGAACTCGTACCCTTTCTTTAGTGCGCCAGTTCTGATTGGGCAACTCCTTGAGGCCTTCGATGGCCTCCGTGTGTCGCGGTTCGCTGAAGACGCTCGTCTCGGTGAAATGGTCATCCTCGGAGAAGGTCGACGCACTGCAGCCGCCATTCTCGAAGCTCGTGGAATTGTTGTGGTGGTGGTGGTGGTGGTTTTTTAGCTGTAACTTGAGATTATCGATCATCCTTGAAGCGTCCAATTGGTGGTTGATCATGGTAAAAAAGTAAAATGGTGGTGGTGGTGGTGGTGGTGGTGGTGGTGGTGGTGGTGTTTCAGCCAAGGGGCTGGCCTGCTCAACGTTGCATCTGTGAGAATTTGTAAACACAGAGTGTCGCTGTGGGGTGATAAAAACGCGAAGCGATACACCGTAGTTTGGACGTTAGAGGGTATAACTTTAGGAGCACGAAACAACAGTCTTGTTGTACTTGTGTTTGCCTCAAACGCTCTCTGCTGCACCAGTGTGTGGATTTTTAGAAAAAGAGAAAAAAACATCAACTGTAAACAACGTTCAAATCGATAATCGAACCAGTGGCAGAAAGTTTGCCCTCTCCCGATTGGCCAACTTCTCTCCTCCACCTGCACTTACAACGGTTGCGGACAGACAGAGTGAATCAGCGCCGCGCAAGAAAAGGTTGGGTATCAGAGCAGGCCAAGCTATCCTCGAAAACAATCGATGCTGCCTGAGCAGTCTGCTGAGAGTTGCCTTTTGTCGGTTCCAGAGGGTGGCAAGATTTTCCGTTGGGGGCACTGCTGCCCGCGTTCACAGACCGAGTGAAAGCGGTGAGCGCTGAAGGGGGAGCATCGAGGCGGGTGGGCAGCAGAGGCCAATCGTGTGGCAGCGAAGAGGGGGCACTGGGGCACTCCACAACGTGCTTTTTTCGATTGTTGGCGCCTTGGAGGAAAGCAACTGCAACTGCTACTGCTGCTGATACTCCAACAGTTTGTACAGTGTAGCAGGAGCAACAGCAGCGCAATCTCGCATCATGTGAATCCTCTTACTCACACATTTGCATCCTCCTCCTCCTTTTTCTCTTCTTGCTGCTGCTGCTTTTTCGGAAACAGTAAACACTAAAAAAAGCTATCGAGGTATTGGTATTTATGGCTCCATTGGTCGATGGCGTACAGACTGGCGTCTGGCTGACGTCTCTTCCTCTCCCTTTCCTCGACAGCGCTTGAGCGCAAAAACCTTGTGACTAAACACACACACAGTCTGTCTGTGTCTGGCTGACACTCGATTACCGTACCAGCCAACACCAGACGCACTGCATTGGCCCAGTACTAGTCAGCGACGGTGCACAAACACATACTTTGCTCGCTTGAGTTAGCTTGCGGTGGACGGCGGCGCTACGCATCGTTTTGTGGGTAGAAGAAGGAAAGCAGAGTTTTTTGTTTTTAATCAGAAACAAAAAAAAAGTGGCATATCTGCAATGAGTTTGTATGCAAATGCAGCAGCTGTACAGCACTGGGCACGTGATGAGGCGATGGATGATGAGGTGTTGTGGTGAGTGGAGCGGAGAAAAAGATTCAGTTCAACGAAAAGGTAATTTTGCCGTTGGTCTTCAGCCGNATGGCGAGTTTTAAAGCAAGGTTGCCTGAAGCAATCACACTTTACCTGGTACAGGTCGGGAAAGGCCTCTGAGCTGATGGAGCCCACGCGGAGCTTCTTTATGCGGACAATCTCGTCGGGNTGGCATATCTGCGATGAGTTTGTACGCAAATGCAGCTGCTGTACAGCACTGGGCACGTGATGAGGCGATGGATGATGAGGTGTTGTGGTGAGTGGAGCGGAAAAAAAGATTCAGTTCAACGAAAAGGTAATTTTGCCGTTGGTCTTCAGCCGACTGTTCTGCTCGCTCATCTTCGCGGTAAACTTTTCGGCGAGCTCCAGGCCGAACTTGGTTGCCAGCTGCAAGGGAGAAATGTGTGTTAATTGGAGAGTTTTAAGGCAAGGTTGCCTGAAACACTTTACCTGGTACAGGTCGGGAAAGGCCTCTGAGCTGATGGAGCCCACGCGGAGCTTCTTTATGCGGACAATCTCGTCGGGAGGGAAGAAGGCAATGGAGACGGTGCCGACGCTGGCCTGCTCCTCCTCCCACGTTGGATCGACGATGAACTTGGAGGCGACCTTGGTGTAGGAGGTGACGAGGGGCACCTTTGAGGCGTCCAGGGAGGTCGCTTGGAAGCTGTCCTCGCTAACCTGGAACTCATTGTGCTCCACACTCAGGACAACAGTGTGGGGAATTCTACAGTAAAAGTAAGAGGTTAAAACAAGCCAGGAGCAACAACAAAGAGGGAGCGGCTTACTTGACATCGTAAAGTGCCGTCTTGATGGCGATGGAGGTGACGTCGACGAGCGAAGCAAAGGACGAGCACTCGAGGATGACAATGTCAATGTGCATGGCGAAGTAGGACTTTTGGGGCACGATGACCAGCTTCTCCAGGTCGAGGTAGTCGGGCAGGAACTCGGCAAAGAGTGCCTCCAACTGGCAGGTGATGTCTTCGCCCTTGCGGCCCTCAAACGCCGGCGAGGCAATCGCCGAGATGTCGGCGAAGATCTGCAACCGTCCTCTCGAGTCCGAGGCGGCGGCGGCGGCAGCGTCAGCAAAGGTATCAACGTCAGCCACCTCCTCCAGCTCCAGCTTGATGCCCACGAGGACGTCGGTGTTTCCGGAGCGAGCATGGGCCGAGCCGTTGCACGTCTCAATGACGCCCTGCTCCAGCAGAATGTTGCGAAAGTCGGTGCAGGAGCGGCCGTCGGAGCGGATGTTCAGGTCGACGCCGTGGTTGATGAAGATCCGCTCACTCTCGCTGATGTTCGCCACCAGGGACATGTTCTGGTGGAATGTGCTGGTGGAAGGTGATAGATGAAATGTGGAAGTTCCGGTGCAGGGGCAAAAACACAGTGAACAAAACAAGCAAACAAACCAGCTGGCAGAAAGAGCAGCACGTGCGCTTCGACTGCAGTGCCACCTGCAGCTTGAAAAGCTCAAAGGCGCCAGCTGCGGCGAGTTTCAAAATCTCCTNGATGAAATGTGGAAGTTCCGGTGCAGGGGCGAACAAAACACACAGCGATGATGATGAACAAAACAACAAGCAAACAAACCAGCTGGCAGAAAGAGCAGCACGTGCGCTTCGACTGCAGTGCCACCTGCAGCTTGAAAAGCTCAAAGGCGCCAGCTGCGGCGAGTTTCAAAATCTCCCTCGAATGAGAGCGAGAGCAGAAAGAGCAGTTTGCCTTGGCAGCAGCTCTTTGCCTTGGCGGCAATCATAAATCTACCTGCTGGGCAGGCCTATCACTGAAGTTGATGGGCAACAATAAAAAAAACTGCTTGGATGCGACTATCTGATCGGAGAGTGCACAGTTGTTTTCACTTGGGGATTGACCGATAAGAAAGAAGGAGGAAGGCTTCTTTTGCTGCAGTGCTCAACTCCTCAAACACTTCAAGCA